AACAATATTTATTTAAATTATCTCCAAGAACAAGAAAACAAACCAAAAAAAAAAAAAAAAAAAAGGAAAGCATACATAAAAAAAGCATATAATAAATTCAAATCAATTTAGGCTTAAAAAAAAAAACAAATATAACATACAACTTTACGTATTAATTATTAATCTTCAACGACGTATTTTGTTAAAATGTTTTCAAGTTGTTCAGCTTTTAAAGGCTTTAAGAGGCAATCATTTAATCCACAGTTAACACATTTATTTCGTATTTCTTCTGTAAATAAATCCGTTACAGCAACGATTGGAATTTTTGAAACTGATCTAATTGCTTTTGAAACGTCAAAACCTGCCATTGTTGACTAATTAAGCATAAAATATTGATAATGATGAATATAAACATAACAAAATGATAAAGTGTTATTATTGCATCATAATGAATCTAATAAACTTACTAAATTATAGTCTATTAAAATCATTGAGATTTTACGAGACTTTGAATAAATATCATTTAACGATCCAAATTCTGTTTTAATAATATTAATTGCATCTTGAACACTTGTTGCAGAGATTGTTGAATAACCAAGTTCTGAAAGTTGTTGCATTATGGTCTAATGACAAAAATGGATTAGAAAATTAACGAAAAATCAAACAAAATAAAATGAAATGCATTTTTTATAATTACCCTTAGATTAATAGAATCATTATCCTACAAATAAATATTAGTCAAATGTTTAAATGAATATTGTATTCTAAAATCATAATAATATTAGCAACAAAGATAAAAAAAAAAAGAACCCGAAAAATAGTACATACCACATATAAAATACATTTTTCCTTTGATATTAGTAAATTCTTAAAATCACATTCATTTGCAGTTGCATTTGTATCTGCATATATACTTTGATTCGCATCAACCCTACTATCTTTAAAATTTACTATTCTATTAAAAATCTTTGCACAGCTATTTTTACCATTACCGTTAAGATCATTATCAATATTTGAAAATTGGCCAATTAACTTTCTCCATGTAATTGGCGTATATATAATTTCACATCGTCCTTCAACATTTTTAATTAATTTTTCTACCAACGCTCTACCTCTATCACTAGGAAATACAATAAATACTACTAAAGAAGTTAATGAATTATTACAATTTAATTCGATCTTTCTTAATTCTGATACGGCATTGACGACTTCTTCTTCATTTTTTTCATAAAGACCGATAAATATTAAGTCATAAGCAAATTTTTTATGTAACTCTACATAATCTTTTGCTTTTTGAACAGCTTTATCAAAAGTATCAAAAACATCAACATTTTCAATACTTTTAAGATGATTAATTATTGAATTTCTTGCATTCTCAACAGGATGAATTACTAATATCCGTTTTGATCTTATAAAATCTGGTAAGAAATGAAATTTTTCTTGATATTTTGATAAATTTTCTATTAATTCAATATTCCATTTAAGCCAAAATTTACTTCCTTGTCTTAATTTACTTTCTACTTTAATTTCTCCTCCATTAATTGCTACTAAATTTTTACAAATTGAAAGTCCAAGTCCTGTACCATCTTGTTTCCTGGTTAATGACGTGTCACCTTTGGAAAAACTCTCCCAAATATGTTCAATAAATTCTGGATCAATGCTATTGTTATTAAATTTAAATATGCATAAAAAAAAATTATAAATAATAAATATATATGATATATAATGAAATAATAATTATAGTGTATATGAATATGTTAGTTAAACCTACCCAAGGCCAGTGTCACATAATTCTATTAGCAAATAATCTTTTTTAACAGGTTGACCATACGTTGGACTCTCTTTATTTTCATCAATGACATCATGTGATAGCGTTGAAATGTTCATTACGATTTCACCTTTCTCGGTAAATTTAATACTAAAACAGTTAGAATAAAATTAAATCATTAAGTGTAATTATTAAATGTAATTAAATGTAGTAAATTATAAACGATAAGAACCAAAAAAAATATTGAAATATATTTACGAATTTGACAATAGGTGAATTAAAACTTGTCTTAACCTATATAAATAATAAAAGAGAGAGAGAAAATAAATCATGCGTGTCTTTTATTTTTTTTTAAGAAAATTTAAACGGAGCAAATTAAAATAAAAAAAAATAATTAAATCACCTATCAGGATCACTTTTAACATATTTTGGTAATGCGTCTATATCACAATTTAAAATCAACTCAATTTGTTTATTACCAGCACTTTCTCCAAACATCTCAATTGTTTCTGCTAATAAGCACGATAAACTAAATGTTCTGTTTACTAATGTTATTTTTTTGAGCTTCTAATCTTACTGCATCCAAAATATCGTTGACTATAGACAATACGATATCAGAAGCACGTGCCATGATGTTTATCATGTCCCTTTGATCACCATCGTCTAAACCTGTACTCTCTAAAGAAGAAAGTATGCCTACTATTGCACCTAGTGGATTTCGTAACTCTAAAAAAAAACAAAATTGAAACTAATTAAAACTAATTAAAATTAGAACGAATTGAAATTAGAACAAATTGAAATTAATTAGAAAATAATATACCGTGAGAAGTATTTGCTAATATTTGAATTTTTTCATTATTTTCTCTTTCAGCAGTTTTTATTTGTATTTCCTGTTTTAAACTCTCATCAAATAATTTAGCATAAATGATAGCTATATTTATTTGATTTGAAATTTGTTGTAGTAATTCAATTTCCGAATTGAGCCAAATAGAATTTGGTGATCGAAAGGCTTTTATCCATCCCCAATTATCTTTTATTTCCACAGATAATATGGATAAATTTTTGCAAATACATTTACAGTATACATTATTCGATATCTCTACTTTGAAATCGTTATTTAAAAATTCTTGTGAATTGATGATTGTTGATGATTTATCGTTATTATTGTTATTATTGTTGTTACAATCGACTTCCAGTAATGGTAATGGTTCGGTTATCGGTATAGTACTTGATGAATCGTCGTATATCACATGAGAAGTAAACTCGGATTGTTGAGATGAAATTATAGATATTCCTTTACATGGTAATATACGATGAATTTCTTTGATGGTATATGAAAGGATTTCTTTTAAATTAAATCCTGATAGAATCTTGTTCGAAATTGAATGTAATAATTTATTTGTTTCTTCATTATTACATCGTTGAAATAATAGTTTATGGCGAAGTTGAGAGAGTTCGATATTAATTCGAATACGTGAAATTAGTTCTTGTATAGAAAATGGTTTAATTAAATAGTCATCGACTTTACTTAGATCATGATATGTATAAAGCAATAATATTTAATCTTTGTAAGCATTTTTTTATAACAAAAATAAACGTC